GTGTTGGGTTTGTAGCTTAGCGACAACAGAACTGATGGCATCACATGCACTTTCAGCAATGGCTGAAGGTGGAATATAAGGAAAGCATTTCCAATGCTTTTCCAATGCTTGCAAATCCTTGTCTATTTTGTATCATTGGCTAAAGCAGGTAATAGGTGTTGAAGACTATTTTCACATTTAACCTGACTGTGAAACTCAGAATGACTAATTATATTTCAACAATTTGTATTTAGTGGTTTCTCAGTAAGCTTGGTCTTTAAAATCCAAGTCTTTGTAACATGGGTGGCACCGGGCGGTAGCTGGAGGTTGCTAAAGCAACGGCAAGATTGGACCAAGTAATGACTGAGCAACCCCACCTCTTGACTTAGTCTCATAATTCTGAGAAAAAAAGTCAGAATTCTAACATTAGATCAGATTTTTTACAGAAATTTAAGTCAGTGATGTTTTTTTTCTCAAATATTTAACCCTCTGGAGGCAGGCATTACAGATTTGCAACATTAAACCTACATACCTGGTTACTCCACATATGTAATTCATGAGCATTTTTTTTTTACTCAGAAGTACCCCTGAAGGACTTACCGGTAGTTTTTCATCCTTTTATCAAAACTTATTTTGAGCCTGAGAGGGTTAAAGGTTTGTTCTCATTTTAAAATAAATACCATTTTATTTCTAATTTATTTGCAAGAGTATGGTTATTTTTATCCCATGGTATGTTAATATTAGTAGAAAATTAAGTAAAAATAAACATAAATGGATCTAAATATATTACTGATACGTTTATTATTCTGTTGTTGACATTCAGTTGAAATTTAAAATGAAAAATGACAAATTGGTTAAACCTGCACATTTTTATTGAATTTGATTTACATTTTAAAGAAGGATTTCATTGTTTTAAAATTAGCATAGCTAAAGTTACCCAGAGCCACTGGAGAAGGCAAAATGAGCCTGACAACTTGGAACTGTGAAACAGTATGGAAGCTTTTGCTGTTTAAGTTGAATTCAAATAGACATGTATTTATAGACATATATCTGTAGACATGTATTTGTAACAGTGATATTGAAAGGTAGGATACAGATTTTCACCTATTTCTGTGCTACATGTGGTTGCATTGGAATTTTGTATTGTCCAACAGTCTCTGCCCCATATTTGGCAAGTGTGTATGGTGTCAGGATTGTTCCAAAACCATATCAGAAGTGTGGATTTGACCAAGTTATCGGGCAGATGCCCTCTCTCCCCTCCACCCTCCACCCCCCACTTTTTGGTCTGCGTTGACGGAGAGCAGCAACCCCAAACCCTGACCACATAACTGTACAGCAACTGCTTTTAAAAAATCCTGTAGCCACCCATGGTTATAGCCATTTTTGAGATATGGTAAATATGCAGCTGGATTTTGTCCCCAACAGATACTCATGCTAACCTATCATACAATAGCTTTATTGGGTACTTTGACATGCGCGGTCAAAAGTATGACCGGTGTCAGAGCTTGGTCCGCATTGCCGGCAGTAAGTCGGACTCATACCCAGTGAGAGTTGGACTCTGCCAAGTCTGCCCTTTGTCGCTGATTCTGCTCATAACTTTTATGGACAGGATTTCTAGGTGCAGTCATGGTGTTGAGGGGTTCTGTTTTGGTGGCCTGAGGATCAGCTGTCTGCTTTTTACAGTTGGTCCTGTTGGCTTCATCAGAACGTGGTCTCCGGCTCTCACTAGAGTAGTTCGCAGCCGAGTGTGAAGCAGCTGGGATGAGAATCAGCTCCTCTGAATCCGAGACCATGGTCTTGAGTCAGAAAATGGTAGAATGCCTTCTCCGAGTCAGGGATAAGGTCCTGCCCCAAGTGGAGGAGTAAGTGCCTTGGGGTCTTGTTCTCGAGTGAGGGAAAACTGGAGCGTGAGATCGATAGGCAGATTGGTGCTGTGTCTGCAGAGATGTGGGCGTTGTACCGGTCTGTCATGGTGAAGAGAGAGCTGAGCCGGAAGGCAAAGCTCCCGATTTACCGGTCGATCTACCTTCCTACCCTCACCTATGGTCGTGAGCTTTGGATAGTGACCAAAAGAATGAGATTGCGGATACAAGTGGCTGAAAAGAATTTTCTGTTCAGGGTGGCTGGGCTCTCCCTTAGAGATATGGTGAGAAGCCTGGTCATCCGGGAGGGGCTCAGAGTAGACCCGCTGCCCGTCCACATCGAGAGGAGCCAGTTGAGATGGCTCGGACATCTGGTCAGTAGGCCTTCTGGACGGCTCCCTTGTGAGGTTTTTAGGCATCGACGTATAAATATTGGACAATGGGTTTCCATAGACTCCAATAACACGTTTTTGAAGATAAATGGGAGGTGGCCACCACCGCCATTTTGACCGTGTCACAGGTTCCGTCAAGCCCAGACAATTCCACAAAAGGGAAGAGAGGTGGAGCTGAGGGTGGGGCTGTAAGGCTGGGATCGACTGACGACACCCGGTCGAACTAGCTACAAGCTAACCTGAAGCTAACCCAAAGCTAACGTGGAGGTGGGAGCTAAGCTAACAGAGGTAGCAACCTAGCTACAACCGGAGTTAACTGTGCACAACACCAGAGCTTCTGAGTCAGAGATACGCCGGGCTGACCCCTGGGTAAAACCAGGTACACAGAGGTCTCCCGAGAGCTCCACAAGCCAGCAGCCGCACAGCAGACAAGCCCCGCTGTGATCTGAGATGCGCAGAGCTGCTGCTGGGGAGAACCGGGTGGAAAACATCGGTTTCCATCCAGAGCTCCACAAGCCGGCAGCCCGCGCAGCAGACAGAAGCCGCAATCAGACAGAGATGGACCGGGCTGCGGGGAGGGGAGAACCGGGTGGAAAACATCGGTCTCCCGAGAGCTCCCCAAGCTGATAGTCAGAACCCAGCTCCACCAACATGTTATATTACAACTCATTTTCTAAAGTGCAGCATTATGTTAAATGCACTGGGTTTTACCCTATTACATTTAAATTTCATGGTTAAACAGTACATGTTAAAATCTAAGCTTAGCTCGGCAGTGACCTAAAATACATAAATATAATTTTACTTACCGAAAAAAATGAAGTGGATACTCCTTGGACGCTCTATTAGTGCAATTAATGCCACAGCAGGTCATTTTGTCCAACAATTGCACAAATAATATCCAAAAAGAACGCGCAAACACTACAACTAATGGTCTAAGTTGAGAGACTGAAAATCCCGGAACAGTTTCCAGGCCAGACCGAGGCTCAACTGAGGCCTTTCCCCGGAGCTAGCTCTGTGGTCACGTGGGTCTGATGCTCATTAATTATACAGAATTTTAGGCTTTTAATACACTTAAACAGAAGAATGAGAAAAAAATTCACTCCCCTCAGAGTTGTCATGATAATTTAAACCAAAAACGTGTTTTGGTACCAGGCTGTGAACATGCTGCTATTTTCACTGCTGTGAAATTGCTATTTTTAACGTGGGAGTCAATGGGGATTTGCTCGCTTCTAACACCAGCCCCTAGTGGATGAGGGTTGAACTGCAATTTTTGTCACTTCCAGGATTGCTTCAATTTTTCACCCGCATTGTGGGGGCTTGTTTTTAGGGCACATCCAACCTAGAGAAGACCTAAAAGAAGACCCAGGACATGCCGGAGGGACTAATTCTTTTGACTAGCCAGGGAACGCGTTGGCAATTTCCCCGAAGGAGCTGGCCCAAGTGGCTGGGGAGATGGAAGTTTGGGCCTTTCAGCATAGGCTGCTGCCCCCGCAACCCGACTGATGATAAGCTGAAGAAAATGGATGGATGTATGTTTGACATAAACTGTTGGAGTAAACCCTAGTTGTCTCTGGCGCAGACCATTTATTTCCAACATTGTCGCTTGTGACCCACAAAATTGCAAAGCCAAATACTCAAAACCACAAGTATCAGTGTTTGACCTGAATAAACATAAAAATAATGAATTAAAAAGGAGCTTATTTTCAACTTTTACATCAAAAAGCCTTCCATTCATATTTGTTTGTTCAGTTTTACTTTTCTAGGAATCATCTCCAGAGCTGGGTTCAGCTCTACATCTGATTCACCTATACAGTCTAACCTCATTCAAGATGGCCACTAGAGGAAATCAACAGCATCCAACAAAGTCTAAACCTCCGCCAAGTATTTGGGTCTTGAAAATTTTTATGTATTTGTACCTAACAATTATTCACATACATGTGCTCTAAGACATTAGGGACGACGGTGGCCCAGGAGTTGAGTACTCGCCCCATAATCAGAAGGTTGCAGGTTGGAACCCCACTGAGATTGTCGCTGCTGTTGTGTCCTTCAGCAAAACACTTAACCCCTCCTTGCCTGCTGGTGGTGGTCGGAGGGACCGGTGGCGCCAGTGCTCATCAGCCTCACCCCTGTCAGCGTGCCAGAGATTTTTCTTTGTACTGGAACCAGAAAACTTTCTTTTACAGAGCCTTTTTTATGTCCTTGTTGAAAGAAGAGTGCACGATCCCTTTGCTGCAGACGTTTTTAACAGGTCAAAGCCAGGGAAAGGTCCTCTGAGGGGTCATTTTTCTGTACTGGAGCAGCATCAGGCGGTGAGCTGTGAGGTGTTCTGGGACCTGGGATGGTGCTGAGGGAGTGGCAGAGAGAGATGAAGAAAAGGAGAGCGCTATCTTTGGAGAGACATCTTTGACTCACCTTTATGACATCGACAGGGATGTGTGTGCACGTTTGTGTACGTGCATGCATGTATATGTGTGTGTGTGTGTGTGCACAAGCGTGGGTGTGTGCTTACATGCACATTTGACCAAACATTCATAATTGGGCCCTGTAGCTCATTATAGTTTGAGCTGGTGCTGTCGTCATGCCAACCAACCACTCTCCTTTTGTGTCTTATTTTGTGTAGAGATGGCAACTGCATGGAGATGCCTCACACAACACAACTAAATGCACCCGTCATTAGACTTCAGAATGCTTCCTTACCTATTTATTAGGCTGTGTTTTGCATTCTTTTATGAACACTGTTTTCTTTCTCTGTTTTTTTTTTTTACAGAACCTTGGCGCCCAACAATTCTAGGTTACTGACTGCAGGTAAATGTGTCACATGCACATTCTGTATCTCACCTAGACATGTGTGTGTGTGTGTGTGGTGTCTATTTGTGTATGGTACAACTGTGTCAGTGTGCTATTCTCATTAAGAGCTTAGAGTGCTTCTTCTGGACACCTCTCGGAGCATCTGATTGGACTGAGGTGAGCTGAACCCCACCAATAACAGCACCTGCTGTGTTGACATCTGGAGAGCAGATCAGTGCTGAGAGAGCAAGACAAAATGAGGAGAAGGAGATAATATGAAGGAGGAAAAAAGCAGGAAAATTAAGATGTGAACATGTGAATTATACATGCAAATGATTAGACTCGAAAAGGACAAAAACATGAATGGTTTAGATGAGTACTACTTCCCCACCTTCTGAAAACCAACTGCTGCTTATTTCTGAGTCGTCTCGATTATGTTCCTGTTAAGTCTCTAGCTGATTTTATTATTTTCAATTCAAACCAGAGCTTGTATTTTTATTAGATCAAATGTGTTCTGTTTTATATCCGGATGTGCGTATACCTAAATTCTGGCACCTAAAGGTTCCATATCAAGGTCAAGGTCAATTTTATTTATAGAGCGCATTTACAGCAGCAAAGCTACACCCAAAGCGCTGTACAAGGTTAAACAAATCAACAATAAAAACCTAAAAATAAGATGAGCACACAACAGTCGCAATCTATAATAAAAACTGTTAAAAACTATTAAGATGCTCAAGTCAGCCTGCATTAAAAGCCAAATCAAAAAATGTGTCTTAAGAAGGGATTTAAAATGCTCTAGATTCTGTGTGGTCCTGATGTTGAGAGGTAGCTTGTTCCACAGTTTGGGCCCAACCACAGAGAATGCTCTGTCACCGTGAGTCTTGTGGCGGGTTTTTGGAACTGTTAAAAGCGCTTGAGAACTGGACCTCATGGTTCTGGCAGGGACGTAAGCGGACAGCAGCTCAGAGATGTAAACTGGGGCCAGTCCATGAAGGGATTTAAAAACAAAAAGTAAAATTTTGAAACGGATCCTGTAAGAGACAGGAAGCCAATGGAGAGAGGCCAGAACCGGGGTCATGTGATCCTGCTTGCTGGTTCCAGTCAGCACGCGGGCCGCTGCATTTTGGACCAGCTGAAGTCGGTCCAAAAGGTCATGCTATTTTAAACCTTGAGAGCAACGGTAGGCACAGTGTACAATAAAATGATGTTGTTGTTTCTATTGAGATGTCATTTATCTTTAAAGCGAGTGATTTTAGTCAGCCTTAATTTATACAGGTAAAATGCTTCGTTTCAGTGAAACTGCCCACGCCCGCTCCTACAAAATGGGCCTAAAAGAGCATCTTAAGCAAGTCAGTTACTTTGATGACTATTGTAGTCCAGTGGTAAAGATGCCTGTCTAGTATCTCGGGTTTGCCATGTGCAGATGTGGGTTTGAATCCTGGTGGTGGCAGTAATTTATTTAGCCAGCTGAATCAGATTTCATGTTTTTATATTTTAGCCTAATTGATTATTTTCTGCAAATAATTTTGCGTTTCTAAACTTCTTTGAGTTTGTTAATTCCCAAGCAAAATTTTAGGTGAGTTACTGGACTTTAACGTTGTTACTTTATAAACAAAAAAGCAAAAATAAAACTTTAAATAAAAACTGATTAGGCATTCTGGCAATCACAGGCAAAAAAAAAGAAGAAAAAAGTTCTGGGATTTGAACCTGTGCTAAATTGCATGCTAGCCCAGCACACTTACAAGTAGACTACCAAGTCTGTTAGAGGACACTTGTTGCCTCTCCCTCATATCCTGTGCTGGCTTTGAGAGATAGGCTTCAGTAGCCTGGCCTGCCAGACTCCTCCTCTGTTTAATTCTGCACAGAGAAAGAGTCTGGGAACTCCAAATGACATAACCCCTCCCTGTGATAACTCTAACCGAGCCACTCAGTGCTGAGTGTCGTACATCACTCACAATAACGCAGATTTTGTCATAAACATGGTGACTGAAGTGGAGTTCGCTGCGTTTCTTTCCTTTGTTCTAAATGATTTGAAAACAACAAGTAGAAGCGCTAAAAGCCTTTCTTCTTAACAAAGGTGTTTGAGCTGTCGCCAGACTCCATTTTTATTACAGCTAAAAAAAAACTACAGCGTCACGGACGTCACACACAGCAGCGCTCAGTTTCTCATAAACAACGAAGACAGCGGCGGAGTTCGCTGCGACTTTCCTCTGTTCTAAATGACTCAAATGTCTTTGCGCCATTGCCAGACGCTATTTTTTTTTACTACAACTAGAAAACTACAGCGTCGTGCGGTACAGTTGGGATTTCCATCTGTTTTCTGATTGGTCATTATTGAGCTGCCTAGTCCCGCCCCTCAAGTGTCTCTCTGACAGTCTGGCAGGCCAGGCTAAGGTTTCAGACCAGAGACTAGCTTCTGGGGCAGGAGCAGGGCCTGATGTTGGAAGCAGGACGATGAAGTGATATACACATTAGAAGGTTTCAGAAATTTCAAAATAAAATTCGAAATTTGCAGCTGAAACAGTCAAATGAATGAAAGTAATCCAAAATGGGTTTTCAGTTATTTTTCATGAGAAAATAACAACATTACATGTTCAAAAGCTCCAAAAAGAGGATTTTCCGTGATATGGCCCCTTTAAATCTCAAATCCCACATTTCGCCTTTGAGCTATCACTGAAATCATGAGAATGTTAGACAATGTTGGGCTGTTGTATCACATGAAAGAGCCGAATTGAAGCATCTGTAGTGTGAAGTGTGAAAGAAAGACAGAAATTAACAGCTATCTAGTTACTCTTAGCTCCTCAAAGAAATAAAGTAGGGTGTGAACTTTGTCAGTTTTTCACATTTATTTAAAAAGAACAACGTGATCTCTTAATATAAATAGAAAAACTGACTAAGTTTTAACAAAATAAAAAATAACCAAGGGTATTCAAAACAAAATATTTGAAAGTCATTTTCCATGTTTATAATATTTTATTTTTTTTATTAATACATTTATGTCTAAATGTGTAAGTCTAATATCGATGTTATAGTAAAATATGCTGTAAAACAGAGCAGCCTACCAAAATGACAGCTGAAAATTATAAATGACCCGCACATGTGTAGCACTTTTCTGAGTCAGAGGACTCCAACGTGCTTTACACTACAGTGAATCATTCATCCATTCATTTACACATTCACATTCTGATAATGATGACTGTGGCGGCATGTCAGGGTAACATTGCTGCCATAGTTTGTCTATTAAAGGAGTACTAAGCAACTTATTCATATTTTAAATCATTTTCTTGAGCCAGTATGTGCTGAAATGACCCTTTACAGGGATAATGAGATGCCACTCAGACCCCCACACCACTCTGTGGCCAGAATATTGCATTTGCAACTTCACAGTCACCGGTCTGGTCTGTTGCACTTGAGCTGAGCTGACATACCTGGTGCTGCAGTCTTGTTTCAGCACATTTCCTGCATGTTTTAGATAATGAACACAACTAATATGTTTAATTCATTGAAGGCTGGGGAGGTATTTCAGCTGTTAGATCAAGGTGTGAAAAGGAGGAGATGTGTTTTGAATTTGGTTCTAGTAAGCAGACACCAGTGGGTGATAAAAGCAAGCCAAAGCTGCCTAGTCTTGTGCCGCCTAGCTTGACAGTAATATTATTGCAATGCTGGACTTCTGAATGAACAGAGGGTGATGTCATGATCTCATGTGGAACATCTGCCGAGCCCCGGATGGTAACAGTATTAAAAATCCAAGTTTTATCAGCTGAGATGGTTAAATGGAGTGGCGCAGAGGTCCTGGAGCATCTGGCAGTTAGAGATGAAGTACAGATTGCCAGGTTAGAGACAAAACTTAAGGAGTGTGACTTCAATTGGGATAAAAAAATATTTTGGTCCAAGTTGAGGAATTTAACAGTGCAGAGACCGCCCTCATGCTCCATTCATACAGCTACTGTGTTATATTGTAGCTGGATCATGTTACATTACTGCCAGGGGTTGACCACTTATGAAAGAACAAAGGGTCCCCAATGCCACCCAGTGGCGGCGCTAGGGGGTGCTATAGCTACCCCTGGATTAGTCATTGCACCCCCATATCACCCCCAAGTAAATATTAGATTTTTTTTTTTACAATTTAATTTTAATTTATGGTGTGGATGTGATAGTACTGTTTTTAACATACAAAACAAAAAATAATTAAATAATAAATAAAAGTAAATTATCATATAGATAGTAAAAACTTGAACCAAAACAGGAAATTGATGTTAATCTTTGACCTCATTTTCCACCTGCGAACGAGTGAAAGGTAGAGCTCGTGGTAAAATGGATCGGTTTTCGTTGCCCAAATTTCCACGGGTTCATTCAGAAACGAATGAATCTTTGGAAGTGATCTCAGACCCACAAAAACCTACGGATCTGGATGAAGAGAGTCAACCCTCAACCGCCACAGCAGTCCAGGGTTTTGGCGCTGGAAATGCTAACGCTAACGTTAGCTAACCTTGCAACACTATAGAAGGTTTTCTGTGTGGCTGTATGTGTTTATGATTTCGTGGAAAAGTCAGCGATTGTTCATATGTTTATGATGTATATTAATGATTGTTTCAGGTGTTGTTGAGGTGTTGTGCACGCATGTGTATCTGCTAGTGTTGAAGGTGTTTTAGAGAACAATAGGTACGCATGACCACTTCCTTCATAGCGCCCTCAATAAAAAGACTAGCTCCTTCATAGCACCAGCAGAAAAACATTTCTGGAGCCGCCACTGATGCCACCTCTGCTTTGCGGCAGACGGAAACGGGTTAATGATGACCAGGACTGAGGGAGGCTTGGGGAACCTCTGCCTGAAACTGAAGCCAACGCAGAAGTAACAAAACTTGCAGTCCCTGCTAGGGGCTGGCTCCAGAAAGGAACAAATTCCCATTTAATCCCATGTTAAAAATACCAACTTTGCGGCAGAAATAAACATGTTTACAGCCTCGTAAAAAAAAGAGAGAACATTTTAGGTTTTTTTTAACCGTCTGACAACTTTG